GTTCATTACATTATATACAATCGGAGTCGTGCAAAAGAAGGAAAGGGATAGCCTCACAAACCTTGTATATACTGCCCAACCTTAAGCTATGGAAATGTCACAACTCCTTAGTCTACAATAGGAGAAATGACACTATCGTTAATGTTTAAGCGTCGTACCTATTATGTACCGACCACAACCTATTTTAAGATGAAATGGACAGCACCTCCCCTATTTATATGAGTTCCCATAAGTGAAAACAATTACCAAATATCCCAAACAACATCAATGTTAATCATATTGAGACTCCCATAACAGTCCACCAACCGATAACATTACTACCAAGCCTTTCGATATATATTTCACAAGTTCTAACTTCAATGACTTAGCCGCAACTTGGATAATCTTAAATACATGTAGAGTAAGAGGTTCCTTACCTTTAGACAGAAAGAACAACTCCAATTTGACCTTAATTGTCCACAAAATATCCCTCAAATGCTGCCACAGCAACAAGGAAGCGAAACTAGCAATCAATTAGGGTTTTTCGGTACTAGAATCACTTTAGAAGATTTGAAATCACCTAGGGTTGATATTAAGAAATTGAGGGAGTATTTACAGAACATAAACCCCTTAAAACAACCTCCCACACGAGCTATAACAACACAAAAATGAGCAATAACAAGAAGAACAAGAAACTTACTAGCGCCACGGGATTTCCGACACTTGATTTGTGTTGTTTGCCCTTTGTTTGAGTCTTGAATCTTCAGAGAACCTTGAGAGGGTGTTTCTAGGGTTTTAAGGTCTGAATATACTAAAAAATGACTTAAAACAGGTTGGAGGCATCATATATATATATATCCAAATGTCTTAAACTGCCTAAGTGGGGCCCATAGCAAGGTGTTTGGCGCAGTCTCGCAAAAACGCGAATATCTCTCTACTCCGAGATCGTATCGATGAACGGTTTAATGTGTTAGAAACTAGACTCATAGATCATCAATTTGGTAGGTAGATCACCCAGTAATTCTAAGTAAATTGGAAGAAAAGCTTAGTAACATTTGACCAAATATTTAAGTAAAATTATGAACCTAAGTTGCGATAACTTTTGTCGATTTTTATTTCATAACTCGTTTGACTTCAAGACTTATGATACGGATATTATATGATTCAAATACCTTAAAACACGATCTCTTGCGTGTATTAAGCACCTCTAGGTTTACCCGAAAATACGGCTGACAACATCCTTGATTTGTTTAACTTCCAATACTTGTTAACCACCTTTATACACCTTTGTATCATTTAAGACCAATAGGATTAACTTCTTATCATCTTAAAAATAATCTCTTCATGGATTTATGTCGACTATCTTATGGCATGAACTAACGTACGTGAATATGGGTTGTAACAGTGAAACCTTGTTATAAGCAATAAAATAAAAGGTTCAAGTCAAAATTATTTTTAAATTTAGAAAGTTGTCATTTTTTAAAAATAAACTAAAAAGGAAAAATTATCACTTAAAAAGTACGTAGTATATTTAAATAGTTTGATAAGTAATTCACTTGCAAAAATTGGCATTTTGCATTAAATTTTATTAAATTATTGTTAGATTTGATTCTTAGTAAATTCTTATCAAACCCCCATCCAACTAAACCTCCTCATCCCTCAATACATGTTTAGAGGGAAAAAACCATCCTAATATAAAAAAACAATATCTTAACCTAATTATACATCAAGTATCTACTTTTCCTTTCCGGGCCTAAGTTATCAAGAAGTAGCTTACATGTTCTTTTTCGTAAATGTACGTGATTCCACATAGTAGAATATGTTTAGAAGGCAGGTGTAGGGTTTAAAGTTTATGGGTTTCTATAATGACATCGAATTATATATATAATAATAATTGAATTCACAGTCAAATATTTATTCATACTTAATAAACTTTTTAATACAAATACAAATTTAAACAAAAACTATTATTTTTATTGGAACTCATGAGCTTAAAGCTGACCCGGCCATGCATATTTGATCATACAAGCAATTATTCTTTGGAACAAAAAAAAACATGCATTTAATTCTCCAAAAAGGCTGAAGAACCCAGCCAAACACAGCTCACAAAGCCATTAATTTTGAAAAGCAACTGCCAAATGATAATAACCTATTTGTTTCTGTCTGAGCTACAACTAACACTGTAGCGCAGGTCCTCAATACTTCCGACAAATCTTTCCGTATCCGGCGCTGAACTTCTACATGAACTATTCTCGATCTCCATAAAGGGAGACAAAGGGGAAAAAATAACTCTTTATTTTCACTTTATATGTCTTTTTTTTTTTATTTGAGAAATTTCCGCATGTATACATAACATAGTTCAAAACTTGACTGATAATGATCTTGCCTTTCTATTCTCTCCACTTAAATATTACATTTTTGTTTGGAATATGATTCGAATTTGTAACGTGCGTATGTCCGCGCATCACAAGTCTCAACTCATTCTCGCTAGAAAAAATTTTAATTTGTTTCTAAAACATAATATCTTCTTTTATATTTGAATTTCTAATTTATATTTATGTACATGCTCATATAATCAAAATACGTAATTTATAAATTTTAATAAAATTTTTAATATATGTCAAAACATTCTTTCTTTTAAAACTCTCGAGGGCTATTCAAATGAGTCCGAAACTTTTTTGATGCTTTTTTGGACAAAAAACACGTTTCTAATACTAAAAAAAGTTACATAACTAGGTAAAATGCAGTACTATACTGCATATTATTTTTAAAATTTTTTTTAACTAATTCGCAGTACTATACTGCGTTTTACTTATTAATTTGGGTCCAGCTCTATTTTATTAAAGCTTCGCAGTACTATACTGCGTTTAACTAAAACGCAGTATAGTACTGCGAATTGCTTTAATAAAATAAAGCCCCTTCTTCTTCCTTGAACAACGACAGAACCGAGACTCCCCCATTAAAAAATTTTCGAGCACTGCTGGTCCCCCCCC